AGGAGGGCGGAGTCAGAGGTGTCTCCAGAGACACGGAGGTGACACAGGCAGTGAAGATGGAATCTGGCAGAACACAGAGTCATGTAAATGGGCTAATTTAAGCTGTAAGAGTTAGCTGGTAACACACTTCAACTATTGGCTGAGCATTTATAATTAATATTAAGTCTCTGTGTCAGTTATTTGGGAACTGGCGGGTGGGAGAGAAAAGTCCACCTACAAACTACCATATATTCCTAAAAAAATGAAGTTACAGGGGCGGTGGTCTCCAGGGAGATTGAGTGTGACTATGAAAGGGGTGGATGGAGGACAGTTCTGTGGGAATGACATTTCTGGACAGTAGCTCCCCCTTGTTAGGTCACAAAGTAGGTGTCCCCTGGCCCCACAAATGGCGGTGCTGTTGACAATGGCCTAAGATGATGGCCCAGGGCAGATTCCTACCAGATACACAGAAACTTAAAGTGAGCATTCCTCAGAAGTCCTTTGATGCACATTTCTACGTCAGGAAAGCATTACCTCCCTGCCCCCCACTGCCAATTACCACTCCTTTGGAGTGTACCTGGCTCCCTATTAACCCAACACATCTGCCTCAGCTCAGAGACTCTCACCAAGCTGACTCACATAAATCCCACATGCATTCCCACCACGCTGCACTCTCCACTCCCAATAAACTGCTTTTCCACCCATGGAATGGTCTAGTTTGGTGGTTTCACTATGCCTCACTTACATCCCTTATCCATGATTTCACTTTTGGTGGATTCAGTGGCCCCCTCCCAAGCAAACCACCATCTAAAATATTAAAGGTTAAAACCCAGAAGTAAGGTATAAGGAAGAGTGTGAGGTGTGTTTTGATCCCCTTGCAGAGTCCCAGCTAAGCGGAGGCCCTGGACGCCTGGCTTCCCCAGCTGTAGCCAGCTAGGGCCAGTCTGGGACCTCTCAGTTTACCCCTGGGTTGGACAGCCACAGGCAGTCTGTTACACGACTGTGCTGCTCATTGGAAAGGGCAGGAATTTCAAGCCACAAGACATAAAAATCTCTGTCCTGACCCAGTGGGATGGGGTACTCAGGAAGATCCCTCCCAGAAAAACCCACCTAGTGATGAATTCACAGGCGAGGAAAGGCTGCCAGAACATCCAAACCTCATTTCCTTGTAGGCAGAAGTTTCTGTCCTGCCCGCCAGGTCCCCAACAACCACACGGAGGCTTATTATTAATTATACATGCTCAGCTGATAGCTTAGGCTTATTACTAACTAGCTCTTTCAACTTAAATTAACCCATTGCTATTAATATATGTATTACCATGTGGCTCATGGCTTTACCTGTCCTCCAGCATGTCTCCGGTGTCTCCGGTGACTTCAACCTTCTTCTTCCCAGAACCCTTAGTTTGGTTGTCCCACCTATATTTCCTGGTGTGCTACCGTTACTCAATCAGCCACGTGTCTGGCCTTTGCTCTCAGGTTTTTTTTTTTTTCTTTTTTGATTCTTGTTCTTTGTTTTGTTGGTTTGTTTGTTTTCTCTTTTTGTCTGTTTATTTATTTATTTATTGAGGTTCTCACTGTTTTGCCAAGGTTAGTCTCAAACTCATGGCTATCCTCCTGCCTCAGCCTTCTGAGTACTGAGATTGTAGGGGTGGGGCACCAAGGCTAGGTTCAATTAACTCTTTTTTTTTTTTTTTTTTTTTTTTTGGTTTTTCGAGACAGGGTTTCTCTGTGTAGCTTTGCGCCTTTCCTGGAGCTCACTTGGTAGCCCAGGCTGGCCTCGAACTCACAGAGATCCGCCTGGCTCTGCCTCCCGAGTGCTGGGATTAAAGGCGTGCGCCACCACCGCCCGGCCTCAATTAACTCTTTAAAAATTGTTTTTGAGCCAGGTGGTGGCGCACACCTTTAATCCCAGTGCCGAGGGCTGTAGGAGTATACAGCAGGTGACAACTAGTGTTTGACAGGTCGACCCACCAGATGCACGATTCCCTGTTGGGGCCCCACTTGGCAATTTTGTTATTGACTGCAAATGACCAGTTGTTTTCTACCGGTGACTTCCTCGGCTGCCATTGCTACCTGTAAGAACAGCTGTGGGGTTTCCACAGCCCTTTGGTGGTGTGTTTTACATCTTTGGGCACACTTACAGTTGTGGGTGATCAGGTTATGATTTCTGTTTAGGCTGTATAATTTTGATGTATAGAAATAGTACTGGGATATTTTACATTACTCAGACTGACACAGGATTTTCAGTTACAAGGACAGCCTTTTACAGACAGCTAACTGTAGGCTTCAGAGCAGATTCAAAGCAGGCTGGTTGCCCCTAGAGACAAATATATGAGGTCATATATTTTTCCAGGTGTTGTTTCACTTATTCAAGGTCAGAGCTTGAAGCAACTTCAGACATAACTTTCTCAGTAACTGACTTTTGCACGTAGTCCCACCTCAGTTAATGCTACAGGCTCAAGGTTCAGCCAACTGTTGACTTACTGTCTGGGATCCCTCAGCAGCTTAGAGCTACCTGCATGGGTCAGTGTGACATTACTGGTCTAAGAGAAACTACGTGACTTATCTTGTGTGGTGAGAACCCTGAAAATGAAACTTATACTTGTCCAGAGTTTGGCTGTGAGAGAGCAGCAGTGGTGGTGTGGAGAGAGATGGCTGTGGAGAGCTGCGTGAGAGCTGCTGCTGAATGTGCGTGTGGGCGTGTGTGTGTGTGTGTGTGTGTGTGTGTGCGTGTGTGTGTGTGTGTGCGTGTGTGTGTGCGTGCGTGTGTGTGCGTGTGTGTGTGTGCGCGCGCGTGTGTGTGCGCATGTGTGTGTGTGCGCGCGGGTGTGTGTGTGTGCATGCACGTGCGTACGCGTGAGTGTGTGTGCGCGCTGAGTAAGAGATGAAAAAGAAGAAGCGTTAGGGAATGTGAGAGAATGAATGAGGGCAAATGACATGAAGGAACAGTGTAAGAGCTGGGCAGAGGGAAAGAGTGAATATGTGAGTATGTGTAGGTGTGCGTGGGCAGAGAGAAAATGTAACATATAATTGTTCAAAGTTGGGCAGAGAAGAAGAAATGTGAGCGTGAGATGAGAGAATGAATGAAAGAATGAGTGAGTCCAGAGTGAATAAATGATGTAATAATACGTAAAGGAATGTAACAGAGTGGAGAGAAGAAATGTGTAGATGTAACTGTGCCAAAGAGACTTGTAACTGTGTGGAGACAAGATGAAGCTGTAGAGAGAAGAGATGCAGAGGAGAAATGTATGTAGAAGAAACGTGGGCAGCCCTGTGAAAAGACGTATGGAGAGAAATGCAGCTGTGTGCAGCTGTGTGGAGACACAAAGACTCAGAGACCGTTTTTAGGGTGAAGTAAAAGAGAAAGTTCACATCAGAAGGCATGTGTTTCCTTATTTCACCAGTCAGATAGACAGAAACTTATTTCTAATTACCCCCAGATAGAAAAAGTCTAGCCCTCAGATAGGTAAGAATTTTTCCTAAGCCCTCGCTGCCTTTGTGGATTTTCTTCCATTACCCTGGAGGTGGCCTTGGAGCAGGCTCTCCTTAAGGCCTCTGATATCCCAGCACTCAGGAGGCAGAGGCAGATGGATCTCTGTGAGTTCAAGGCCAGCCTGGTCTACGGAGTGAGTCCCAAGATAGCAAGGGCTACACAGAAAAACATTGTCTTAGAAAAAAAAAACAAATAAAAATAAGTAAATAAATAAAACGTGTGGGTATGACTTTGAAAAGAGTCACTGGGGAAGAGAGCCTCAGGCCCGGACGCTGGCTCCTCAGCTGCTGGGTCACACAGAGGCCTCAGGCCACATGTGGGAGGCGTTCACAGGAGCCACTGGCCAGGGAAGCCCTGTGGCCCCCACAACAGGCTCCTGGTCACCTACCAGACCCCGTCTATCAGCTGACGTGACCCTACTGCTGAGGACTCCACACACCCTGGTCACCAGTTACAGAATAAACTAGCTGGAAGCATCCTTCCTGCTGGCTGGCGTTCACAGCCAGACGGGCTATGCGGGGTGCAGGAGGCGGGCAGGAAACAGGGGCCTGCCCAGCCATGCCACCCGTGAACGGCAACGCTGATGTTCTGGAGAGTGACAGGAGGGAGCCCAAGCCTCAGTTTTTAAACCTGCTCGAAACTTTGGGGTCACAGGCCTGTGGGACCCAAGACCGTCCTTTAGCTCAACTGACAAGGGTCAAAACATCTGTTTACACCAAAGGCAAACACTGCTCTCGGCCCGGGCCACGGAGAGCTCGCCAGTGAGCAGCCGTAGATTCGGAGAATCACAAAGGCAACAGATGCTGAGAATTGGGGCCAGGACGCTTACACCACCCCCTCTGGGCACAGCGCGGGGCAGAAGGAATCTAAAAGCCGGAAGATTAGGTGAAGGGGCTAGAAAAGGTCACCTTCCAGGATGACAGCCACCCCAGTGTGGACCTGAGGCAGGGCTCCCCGGGCCATCCTACAGGTCCCAGCTGCTGACCACCAGCTGGGTCCTGAGGGGGCAATCACATTCTCTATCTCTTGAGATAGGTTCTAGGTAGCCCCGGCTGGCCTAGCACTCACTGTGAACACCAGACTAGCCTGGAACTCATGAAGATCTGCCTGCCTCCACCCCTGGACTTACCTGTCTATTAAACAAAGAAAATCTGTGTAAGACAGTGTAAGGTGTGTGTTCGGGTCCCACCTGTCACCCACGCTCCTGTGGAGGCACAGGCAGGAGGATCCAGAGTTCAGAGTCATATTTGGCCTGGGTTATATGAGATCCTCCCTCAAAAACCAAGAAAACATCCCAACACACAATAATAAAGGAAGACACACGTCCAGTTCTGTTGACTGGTCAATCCCACGGGAGGTTATCTCACAGGCAGTTACCTCACGGGCCAGCCTTCCTCTGAGTGTGGGGAAATGTCACCGCCTAAGGCCACTTATACTTACAGGTTCCTAGATCATTCCTAAGTATTTGCACTTAGAATAGAATAGTTGTTTTTTTATTATTATTTTTTTATGAAAGATTCCAACTTACCAGGCAAAATTCATTTTTAAAACAACATTTGTCGCCACTGATGTGTGAGACAGGCTGGTATATACCTGAAGGGGAGACAAGTCAAATATATACATTATAAATATATATGTGTGAATTTTTTATTTTTACTTGTGTGTGTGTGTGTGTGTGTGTGTGTGTATGTGTGTGTACAGAGTGCAGGTGCCTGAAGTGGCCAGGAGAGGGTGCTGTGTCCCTGGAGGTGGAGCCACAGGCAGCTGTGATTTTTACTGTTGTTTTTGAGACAGGATCTCATTGGCCTACAACTGGCTATCCATCCCTGGTGGACATCCAAGTCCTGAAACTTCCTGCTTCCACATCCCAAATGCTGGGCTGAGAGTCCTGCGCCAACACACCTGGCTGCATATTTTGAGTTCTCCAAAGTTAACTATTAGGACAGGAATGGTAGCACATGCCTGTAAGTTCAGGACTTAAGGCTGAGGCAGGAGGATTGTGAATCTGAGGTCAGCCTACACTACAGAGTGATGCCCTTTCTCAAAACAAAACAAACAACATCATCAAAACAAAACAGGGGCTGGAGAGATGGCTCAGTGGTTAGAGAACAGGCTACTCTCACAGAGGTCCCAGGTTCAATTCCCAGAGCCCACATGGCAGCTCACGGCCATCTGTGACTCCAATTCCAGGGGACCCTATAGCTGGAATTTTCTTTGGACTGCCAAACACCTTCCAAATAAAGACACAGAGACTTATTGTTCATTATGAATGCTCGGCCTTAGCTTAGGCTCGTCCCACTGGCTCTTACGAGGTAACCTGTTTCTCTTCATCTTCGTTTTGCCTCAGGGCTTTTACCTTTCTTTCATTCTGTGTATCCTGCTTTCCTGCTTCCTCCGTGTCTGGATGGCTGGCCCCTGGCATCTCCCTGGCGTCTCTTTTCTTTCTTCCCCAGAGCCTCCTTCCTCCTTCCTGCCTGGAAGTCCCGCCTATACCTCCTCCCTTGCTACTGGCCAGTTGGCTTTTTATTAGACCAATCAGGTGCCTTAGGCAGGCAAGGTGACACAGCAAACACATCTTTACATAATTACGCAAATGCAACGTATCTTTGCATAGTTAAGCAAATATTCTGACATAGGACCTGTCGCCCCCTTCTGTCCGGCATGGGCACTGCACACATGTGATAAACAGCCACCCAGGCAAACACCAATACAATACAATTTTTAAAAGGGGGAGAAAAAACCCACCAAACTTCAGAATGGGGCTGCGGCTCAGTGGGCAGAGCTCCCACGTAGCATGCCCAGGCCCCAGGTTCCACCCCAGCACCACATAAAACAGACATGGTGGAGCATGCCTGCTACCCCAGCACTGCAGTGGAGGGGACAGAGGGACCTGGGCTACATGAGGCCCTGTCTCCAAAACAAAACAAAGTGTAGCCAAGGCACAGGGACTGCAGAGAGCCCAGGGTGGCGGGGGTGGGGCAGGAGATGTGCGGCAGGCACGGGAGACCACAAACCTATAGCTTTATGCCATCTGTTCGAAAGGTAATTGTACATGTAGACTTTCTTATTCACCACCAACAGCAGTTTTGAATTAGAAGTGAATAAAGCACTTGTGACCGATGCTCCTCCCGCCTAAAGACAAGGACAATACACTGTGACAGAATGCCTACGTGGGCCTCTGAAGGGCTGCAGGTTTGTTCTGGCTCACAGGGAGGGCATGGTCCATGGGGGGGCGGGGGGAGGGGGACCCAGAGCATGACTCATCACAAGTACATACTGGTAGCTGCAGCTAGTTAGGGTACTAGTTTAGGAATCAACTGCTCTGGATAATAACACTCGCTGTTTAGTTACTGCATGCTGTGCAGGCAAGCCTCCACCTCACTCCGATCCACCTGCCTGTCTCTCAAAAGCTGGGAAGGAAGTCGTGAACCACCACCCCACAATAGATATTTGCTTTTGTTTTTTTACTGTGTGTGGCACGTGTTTGCGTGTGCTCATGTGGACACCAGCGGCGTTAGCCTCCAGCTCTTCTGTTCCACTCCAGCTAATTATTTTTTTTTAGCATGTATTATTTCTAAAGGTATAGTCCAGACCTTGAACTCATGATTCTCTTGCCTCTTCATCATATCCTACAGATGCACCTTGGCTCAGCAATTAAGACTGCTGGCTGTTCTTCCAGAGGTCAGGGTTCTGTTCCCAGTGCCCACAGGGTGGCTCACAACCAACCACCTATAACTCCAGATCCAGGGGACCCAACACCCCCCTCTGGCCTCCCCAGGCACTGCATGCACTTGGTGCATAGACAGGGAGTTACACACACAAAGTAAATTCAGCTTTTAAAAAGAGTCATTATTTGTATTGATGTGGATCTGGCACATGCCTTCAGGCACCTCAGGGGCCAGAAGAAGGTGTCATATCCCCTGGAGCTGGAGTAACAAACAGGTGGTTGTGTGCCACCATGCAGGTGCTGGGACAGAACCCAGTGCTCTAACCACTAAGCTCCTCTGATCTCACATTCTGAGGTCTGGTCTCACTGACCCTGGAGTTCTGTTTGGCTGGTGACCAGGGAGCTCCAGGCCCTCCCTCCTCTCCCTCTGCGGCACTGCGCTTCCCCGGCAGTTTGCAGTCACAGCCGCACTGGACCCAGGGCATGCTCTCCTCGGCCACTGCTTCCCTTGTTTCTGCCACATTGATCGGCCCAGATGCTAAGTTAGGAAGGCAGTGCCGGTCTCCGTTCAACTGTGTGCACCTTCTTCCTCAGCAGAGACTCCTCTGGGGGTCTGGAGAGAGCTCAGCGGCTACAAGCATGGGCTGCTCCTGCAGGGGCCGAGGTGGGGTCCCCAGCACCCACAGAGGCTCACAACCGCCTGTGACTCCAGTTCCAGGGGATCCAGCACCCTCCCCTGGTCTCCTTGGGCACCAGGCATGCAGACAAAACACCATATACATAAAATGAAAACAGATGAAATCTCAAATCAACGTTTTAAGGGAAGGGGAACAGAAAAGGAGAAAGGAAAAGGCCACAAGGATGAAAGAAAAGCAAGAAAAAGGAAAGGAGAGGGTGAGGAGGGAGGAAGAGGAGGAGAAGGTGGAACGACATCACTCTCTTCCGACTTCCTGTGACTCGGCATCTCGCAGCTGACAGACCCGTGCCCCAAACTCCAGAGTGTCCTGAGTGTGACTCATTTGGAGTCACAGTTGGGGAATTAGCTACCCTCATTGACTTGGGAATGGTGAGTGGCCGGAGGCTGCTCTCAAACTTGTCCTTCGATATGAAAATCTTCTTCCTGTGACCAAGAAAAAGGTGGTCAGGAAGCTTCTCAGGCTGGGCAGTCCTAAGACCCTCTCCCTTCCAAGTTCCCTGCAAGCCCAGAGTCACCAGAATTATGTTATACTGTGTCTGCCCACTTTTTTTAAAATGACATAGAGACAAAACGGTCACAAATGAAATATGCCAGGTGTGGGGTGGCACAGGCCTGCTGTCCCGGCCCTTCAGAGTCTGAGGCCAGAAGATCAAGAGTTTCAGGCTAGCCTGGGCTACATGAGACCCAGTTTAAAAACAAACAAACTGGCAAACAGATAAAGAAAGAAATGAAAGTGTGTGTGACCAGTGAGCAGCAGTGGTGGTGCACCTAGCAATCTGCTCCAGCACTCCAGAGGCTGAGGCCTGTGGTCGCTGCAGGTCCGAGGCCTGCCTGGGGATGTAGAGTCAGAGCCTGTCTATAAACACAAGAGCAGGGGCCCAGTCAGGAGCGCTGGCCTTTAACCCCAGCACTCAGGAGGCAGAGCTAGGCGGATCTCTGTGAGTTCAAGGCCAGCCTGGTCTACAGCCAGGACTACACAGGGAAACCCTGTCTCGAAAAAAACCAACCAAACAAACAAACAACCAAACAAACAAACAACCAAACAACCAAACAAAAAAGGAACATGGACCAGGAAGATGTCTGGATGGTTAGGACGTATGCACCAAGCCGGACCACCTGAGTTTTATCCCCAGAACTAACAGTATAGAAGGAGAGAAATGACCCCCACAAATTGGCCTCTGACCTCTACATGTCTACACTCAGACATGTGCACAAATAAATATAAATGTAATTAAATTTTTTTTAAGCCAAGAAAATAATTTTTTTGTTGTTTTGTGTTGTCAACCTGTGATTGGCGGAAGCCACAGGCTTGGCACCTGTACCCTGAGTGGCAATACTTTGTCTGTGCCCAGGACTCCCCCTCTGCGTACACACCCAGCCCAGCGAGGATTCTCTGTGGGCCGCAGACTAACAACTTGGGCCAGAGCTGGTCGGGTTTTGAAAAACTGAGTGAGAGGCCAGGGTAGAAGTGGGGAGGGGCGGCCGGGGGAGGAGAGCGGGGGGG